ATTAGAGTTTCACTATATGCACTTGTGATTCGAACTATATTTCAGCTTTGGCCACTTCACTTGGTGCTGGCGTGGCTCTGCTCGCCGTATATCCTTTGCGGGCCGGCTCGAAGGGATCAGCTTCAAACCGCGATGTCTTTGAACATGTTAAAATGATATGTGTATTTTTTGCCAGAAACATTCGTGAAGGCATGCTACATGGAGTATAATTAGAAACACGTTCTTTTGACTTCACTTCGTTCAGCCTTTCTGGATATACGGCCATGGATGCTGCCTTCAAGGCCAAGTTCAAGGAGGTTTTGGACGGTGCAACTCAGAAAGGGCTTTTGAGTTCCATGGAAGTCGCCTACGCGCTGCTCAAGGAGCATGGCTACATGTACCATTTACAGGTGCATTCCAAGCTCATCGGGTGTCACGAAGGCAACCGTGACGGGTTCGGCGTCGACCCTGAGCACGTCCACAGCCTGGTGGATCGCTTCCATGACATGGGCTTTGTGCCTTCTGCCGGAAGATACATGGCTGTTGAGATCCCCATGGGAGCTCAAGGTGACACCACTCGAGAGTTCAATCAAAAGCTGGCAGCTTCATCCAAGGATCTGTTCCTTGCTTGCGATATTGTTTCTATAAAGGGATCGGCCGTAACCATCACAATATATAACATATTTTTTTTTGCATTTGTGTTGCTGAGGCTGCCGCCTGTCAATGACATCTTGAAGTATGCCTCGATCAGCGGAAGCCACAGCAACATGGTCCTTCGCTTGTGGTACTACAGCTGCAAGCACGGGGATGGCCGTCTCAGCGTTGATCAGTTACGTCAGCACGACCCTGTCTACGCGGCAAGCGTGGAGAAAGAGGTAGAGTGGGACGTTGTTTCTGCTGAGATCGCCAACTGCTTTCCAAGCTTTGTTTCCCTTGCGCAGTCCGCACAGAACAGCATCTGTCAAATTAACCTTCAGGAGACGGAGCTTCAGCTGAGCAAAGGAATCAAGGCTTTCGTTCGAAGTGATGGCACATGCGCCAAGTATGAAGACATCGCTCCAGTCATCTTGAGGTCGCAGCCACCCAACCCGGGCGTAGTACCGCATTTGATGAAGTTTATCATGCGGTTTGGATGCTCTGGAGACTTGATGGAGCTCACAGAAAACTTTGTGAGAACAAACGGTTGCTCTGGCAGATCGTTGGGCATTGAGCTGTGGGATTGCCTTTCGATGGAAGTGAAGCACCGCGACCAGGAGCAACTCATGCTCTGGCGCCAAGCGTGTTTGAAGACCATGCTGTGCCACCAGGAGAAATTGCTTTCCCTAAGTGATCTCCGCAAAAGTTTGACTTCCAAAGACTTGTTCGCCAAGATCCTGAAATTCGAGTCCATGCTGGTCAAGCTGAAGGCTCATGGTGCAAAGTTCACGGACTTGACCTCATACCAGCGGTTGCAAGGCCATGGTGTCTTTGAAGTGAAAGCTGCGGTGCTGATCTTAGGCAAGAAGCCGAAGGAACCTCACGCCCTCTTCTTGAAAGCTGAGACTTTAGAAGATGCTGCGTTTCAATGCCATGAGTATTGGCAGGGCTTGTCCAAAGTCACAGTTCCATCTCCATGGGCCCAGTCGCAGACCATGGCCCCGGCGGGGTCTTCGGCCGCCAAAGCATGCCCCATGACACGAGTTGAAATTTGTGTTGATGTTCTGTGATCAGTTTTCATGTGCCATTTCTCATGTACAAGACTCCACCGGCGAGTTGAACCCAGCCATGATGATAACAGCTGTTGCTTGTTTGATGGTTGTTTCTGCATGGTGTTTTTTTCCTCCGGGTTTCTCATATATATATAGTCCTTTTGCCTGACGCAGGACCCGCCAGTTCGATGATTCTGGCAAGCTGAAGGGAACTGCAAAGATTGAGGAAAAGTTCCAGCTTGGTGACAGGATCTATCGTGCCACAGACGAGCAAGAAGGAACAATCATTGCCATGCATCCGCTCCACGTCGAGTTGCAAGCAGATGACGGTCACGTGTACAAGGTGACTGCAGATGACTTGCTGCACGGACCAGAGTGGAAGAAACTGGCAGAGAAGAAGCCCAAGGTCCTGGTGGAGGATCCTCAGAAGTGGCTCTTGGAGATGGCTGTTGCCCGGGTCAAAGCCGAAGCGATAGTGAAGCTTCTTGAAGAAGGTAAGAAGTTTCATGGCTCTCATGCGAAACTTGAGATGTACTCCAAGCCCAAGGGTGTTTTCACTGTCTCAGCGTCGGCAAAGGGACAGCTTTGCCTGGCGCCTTTGACAAACCGGGTTGAATTGCAGCTCGTTTCCGACAACAAGCCGCAGCCAACGGGTTCAATTCTCATGTGCGAAGACAAGGTCGATGGGTAGCTTGGTTTAATTCAGTTGGTGTACCAGGTGAATGCCATGTGCCAACATGCACCCCAAGCATCTCAGAGCATCATGTCATGTCTTTGGGTTGCCGCCCAGGCAGAAGTGCAAGATCTTCCTGCTGCCACCTTCAGGGTGTGTGGTGCCGTTTTGGAACGTTAGGATCACTAGTGACAGTGAGGAGTCGAACATGGAGATCTCTAACAAACACAAGATCCGGATTGCCATCAACACGCAGGCTCTAGAAGCCGGAGATGAGTTGGTTCTGTTTAGGCAAAAGGATGTAAAGCAGCCTAAGCCATTGGAACTTGTTGCGGCTCCCAAAGCGCAGGGGCATGCCAAGAAGAGGGCCAGGACATCGTAGTGGTATAGTTTTGTAAGTTTGGCGATGCGTCGATTCAGCAAGCCCCATGAATGATATCACAAGAAACATATTTACTGCCATGTTCCTTGCTTTGAATCATTGCTTCCAGCAAGTTGAATATATATATATATATTTATTGGTGATGCCATCACATTTTCGTGGGTGCTACATAGAGTGCAGACCCTCCTGGCTACACAGTTTTGATATGAGCGCGAAAGCTGCACCAAAACGGGACTCTGCATGCACTGCTTTTGATGCGTTTTTTTGCGGGGCTCAGGTTTGCAACTTACATTGTAAATTGCGAGGAAGACATGCAGGGCTGTGCTCGCTGTCATGAACTGCGTGGCTTTGCTCGCAGTCCATTGAGTTCTCAAACTTAAAGGTTCTGGCACATTTGCGGTTGTTCATCCTTTGTTTTGCAGCCATGGCAGATGCCGTTGAGGAATGCGTCTATGACTACATCATCATTGCTCCCGGTGCCACCATGGATACTCTCACGTTGCCACCGCCAGGTGATCATAGCTGGCGTGGACTTCCACTGAGACAGGTGCAGAGGATTGGTGAACGTGACCATATGGTCCTGTATCTGACGTGTGTTGGTGCTTCGTACCCGTTCAAACTCAAAGAAGCACGAGATGACCTGTCTCTGATGTTGTACGAAAGACGTGGTGAAAGCGACTGTGTGGTGAAACGAATGCCCAAAGGACCCACAGCCTCTTGCATGCAAAAAGTCGGAGCATGCTATATAACATCCATGGAAGTGCATGCAGGCAAAAACAACGTTTGTGAGTGAGTATCTTTAACATCAATATTGCATTCTGTTCGCAGCGCACTGCAGGTTCTCAACGTGCAGTACCGCTTGACTAGCCGGCATTTGTATTTTCAGTTGCTTGCCCTCACTGGCCGTCGGATCTGTGGCTTCTCTTGGCCCACTGACCAGCCGCTTCGGGCAGCAACGGTGCTGAACAATTTGGAGTTGGAGACAACAATAGCCAATGAGATGAACACAAGCAAGCAAAACGTCATCCACCTCATTGGTTCCAGGTCCAACCATGCCTTCACGAAGAAGGACTGAATGTCATCCTGTCCATTTGGATCTGATTTGCATGTTTTTTGATCTTGATCAGCATGGTTTGCTGGTAGGCTTAGACGCCAACATCATGCATGACATGTACACATGCATGATCCACAGGTTGCAGAAACAAAATAGGTTTATGGGTCTTATATAATTATGTATATTTTGTTTCCGGCTTTTATGCAGGATGTCCTTTATGATGTGACGGTCCCCAAGAGCATGAAACGCCTGGGAATTCGGATGCGGGAGTACTACAAGTTCAAGACAGGCATCCGTATCACTCAGCATCATTGCAGGCGATTCTGCCCATCTCACCAAGAGCAGTTTGTGAACTTGGCGCAAGTCCGTGTTGCACCCAGCGATTCTGATGATTCTGATGTATAGAATGATTTCTTTTAAGATGATGTTGAGTGCAGCTTCAGGGGTGTAGATTTCGATGAACTGCTTTGATAGCATGGGTATCAGACCGGTCTTTGCCTGTTCGAAAGCACAACTTATTTTTGTTTGGAGACCCATCTCTCTTGAAGTTGCCGGTGACATAGGACACAGGTCATGCATGGCGACCAATTTTGACAAGAGAGCACGGATGAAAATCATTTCAAGTTGTTCAGCTGCCATGGACTGGCCAGCCACATACATGTTCATGTTTCATTTTTCATCCTACCATGCCAGGTGCTCATGGTGCATTGACTCTACATTTGCGTGCACCAGGCCTGCTGGTTCACAGTTTGTGAAACTTGGGCTGGACGTGCCACAGTGGAAATTGCCGGCCCTGGATGCCATGATTATGTCTGATTGTTTGCATTTGTTCATCTTAGCTTCTTGAACATGCGAAGCCAACATAATTTTTGTGGATGAATTACTCTAGCTCATTCTTTTGGGATTTCAATGTGTTCTATAATATAATGGATTTTTGCTCACCGCCCCATGCAGGCTACTGAATCATTCCGCAGCTCAGCTGGCCCCACAGGACACTATGGTGGGGGGGGCTGGTGAGGTTCGAAGGTACCATGAAATTTGGATTGAAAAAACAAGAGGATAAAATTAATGAAGAAGAGATCAGCATCATCCATCCCTTGAAAGAAATTCCAATTTTATTGATGCAAGTTGCAGGCATGAGACCATGACATGTTCACAAACTGCTGCATTCCTCCTGGCTTCAGCGCATGTCATGAAGACAGCGACATGTCGGCACCTTTTCTTGTGTGTATATAGGTCAATTGTCACTTGTTCTATGGTTTATTTATATATATATATATAGTAATCTACCCACCTTGACGCACGGTATCATATAGCAGGGTCGCCGATATAGATTCATTCCCCATTTTTCCCTTTGGGGAAAACCTGTATACAATTTAGTTGGTAACAGTATACCGCTACATGTTCTTAAAACATCAAACATGCATTGCCCTACAGTTCACTCCGACAAATGTTGTTTGTACTTCTCCGTGACCTGTTGGGCAACGTGATGGAAACCGTGGAAGCTTCGAAGGTGGACCGCTTGCCAGTTCGCGGCTCTGCTTCGAAGGTGCTCGAGGACGTTGCTGTCCCAGAAGGCGCGGTCCAAAGAAAGGGAAGCACTTATGTTTCAAACGCAGTTTTTTTGGACGGACAATATAACCATACACTTCACTCATTGCATGTTGGACGGTGCAATAAACATATTTACTTCACTCATTGCGGGTTTGGCAATTTGTTTCAACGCTTCTGCATGCAGGCTACGTCCCGGGAAGCTTCCTGCAGAAGTTCATCGATGGGAACTTAGCAGAGGCGGTGGCGATGGATGCTGCGCCTGCATCCAGTGCTGATGCATCGACTGCCGGTGGTGCCTCGGCTGATGCCTCGGAAGCAGCTGATGTAGCCTCGGCTGATGGACCGAAAGCAGCCGATGCAGCGCATGAAGGTGGTGGTGGTGGCAGCGAGCTTCCTGCACCACCACCACCACCACCGCATATACCACCACCACCACCGCCACCGCCAGTACCAACTGCTGCAGTGAAGATAAAGGTCAAGGCCATGCCAAGACCTCGCCCTGCACACCCGAAAGGGCAGCCGCCGCCGAAGCATGTGGACGTGGTCACAGTGGACGATGAGAGCTGCAGCTCTCCCAGCTCGAGCTGGAAGACCCCTGCTGCAATGGTGCAGCACGATGCAGATGGCTCCTGGCAGACCTGGCAGCATGGCTGGAAGACCCCTGCTGCAATGATGCAGCACAATGCTGATGGCTCCTGGCAGACCTGGCAGCATGGAGATGCCAGTGACGGCCAGACCGCGTGGCATGCAGATGGCGCCAACTGGCATGCAAGCATGTCGCAGACGGTTGAGTCAGATGGATGGAGCGCGATTCTAGGCTGCATACTTTGTATATTTAAGTTTTTGCCACTATATATTTTTTATACAGCAGTCATTTAGCAAAGGTCTATATACTTTGTTCAGGGCAGCAAACCAGTGAGAAGGTTTTTTAAACTTCAGAATCCATGGTCCTTGCAGGGCAGACCATGTTATGAACATGAAAAATTTTCTATGCATGCATGCAACCAGCGACCCATGCTTGCGATTCCAAGGAACCGAGAGGTCAGCTGGTCCATGGAGTGGCACAAGGATGGCGAGAACCAGCCGAATCTTGTCCTTTTCAGCATGGTCGTTTTTGTTTGGTAGTTATTTTTCTTTGCAATGGATAGACTATAGACCCAAAATTCTCAGAAACTATATATTTGTCGAAGGGTGCAGGCGGGCCTTGCTCGCTGCACTGCCTTTGCGGGCTATGCTCGCAGGCAATACTATTGCAATACTTCAAGGCAACACAGTCGTTGGCCTTCACCTTTACTACCTTTGTTGTTTGTATTTTCTTATTGGACACAGCATAGACATATTACATTATAACAACATGTAGGTGTTCCCGGCGTGCCTTCAGTGAAAGTTCTAGCGAAGTTGGTTTACATTCTACTTCCCAAATCTCATCTTGTTGGATATGCTTTTGAAGTATGCATAGTTTAGGTGCAGTTCACAGTGTTGAGACATCATGGGGGTGATATGTGTTTTCATGCCCTTGGCCGCTCCAAGGCAGAAGCGCATCAGAGATGCAAGCAACCGAAGGCGTGGAGGCTGGAAGTACCAAAGGGCCCAGGCAAATCGCCAGCTGGCCATGGAGCGGCAAGAGCAGGGGGAACGTATCGACCATGCCCTGGAGATCATGGGCTCTCTGGCTAGATCGCTGGAGAGTGTCCTGTGATCTCCAGGGCATGGTCGAAACGTTATAGCTGATCCAGCCCTTAAGAAATATATATGGGGATGGGTCAAAACCCTGGTGAACCCCAAAATAGCTGGTAAATGGATGTTCATCCCACTAAAAATGTATCTATGGGTATTGACCCATACCCATATACCTTAACACACCTTATATAACTTAAAACTTCATGAAATAACCATATTTAACCATGTCCGATGCAGAATCGGCTGGATCAGCAGGCGCAATGTGCCCAGCAAACACTGTTGCAAAAACAATGTAAACAAAAATCAACATGCAACATATTATATCATGCTCACAATGTGGCAGTTGCCAGCTGCACTCAGCTTCATGGGCGTTCCAACTCATCATGCGTGCTTCAGTGTTTCCTATAAGGGCGCGTTTCACTGGCTCTTATTTCAATTGGCCAGCCACCATCATAGAGGCAGTGACAGCTACGAAAACCAAACCAGCTTATAATTTGTGTTATATGGATGAAACCTCAGCTTTATATATATTGATGCAACATAATGTTGAATAGTTTGATCATTGTGATGTGGCTTCATTGCCTGAATCTTCAGGTTTACTGGCCGATGGCGCATGGGAACTCATTGAAGTGTATAGTATTTGTCATGTACCAAGTAGCATCGTTTCAACAAATGGTTGCACAGAGGTACCTATACTACCATCAAAGAAAAGATCATGTTTTGTTACTTTGCACTGGTCCCGGTCACTTGTGGGTTTCCATGCATGCACTGTTGAAGCCGTCAAGAGATGTTGCAACAGTTTTTTCATAAGGATCTGTGAGAAAGGTTGGTTGGAATATCAACTGAATGTTTGCAGTATAAGGCTTCAACAGCAGAATGTCGCGTGAACTATCGTGATCACATGGCGACCTGAATTTCAAAACGTACAGGGGCTACCATGGCAGAATATTATGTTATGATTTTGGGAATGCAAGCTGCACTCATTCGACCAAATTGTTGTTGGTTTTAATTTTGCAGTTTGACATTGTCATATCAAGATTTCATCTCAGTGCTTTGTTGTGGAAGCCTATGCATGGCCTCAAGATTTCCTCCGCAAACATCACAGCGTGAGAAAAAAAACAGGATATCACGGTGTGAGTGCTGGGTGGGAGATTCATGGGTGGATGAGGTTGCAAGCTGCTTGAATCGGTTTCTGAAATTGCCCCAAGTAGGGAAAAAACATAAACCGTTACTAAATGGATGCCAAAAAATGATGATCCAACATGTTGAAAAAACGATGACTGTTGCTTGGTTTTCCAGATGGGCCAACCACGGAAATTCAGGTCTGGTCAGTTTTGGAACTTAATTTTCAAAAAAGTTGCCGGAAAAAATTGGCGAGAGTTCCCCCCTCCTTAGTTATTTTCAGGTTCAGGCAAATCACAATAGATTTTGCATTTTTGTGATTTCACAAAATGGCAGGGTGCCATTTTGTGATTTCACAAAATGGCACTGTGCCATTTTGTGAAATCACAAAAATCCAAAATTGTTAATTTGAAGAATTGTGAAATCACAAAATGGCACATTGCCATTTTGTGATGCCATTTTGTGAAATCACAAAAATGCAAAATTCAAAGATTCCCAAAACTATGAAAATATTTTTTGAGATTAGACATCAACTACATCTACTTTGAAGATTGCAATGATCAGGTCAAAGGTCGTGGTTCCTAGATGGATGGTAAAAAAATCAATCCAACCACCATTTTTAAGGCTGTATAGTTCTATGAATCTGGATGGTCAAGTCTAATTCCCAAGCATGATGTCGGTTCAACACACCCGATCTGCCCCTGCTGCAGGACTATGTGCATCACCATCTTCAACTGCAGGTGGGCAATAGGCGCGCCATGAGAAGCCAACTGCCAAGGTTCTCACATGGATATTCTGAGCCTTGCAGTTACAAAATGTACCACACAACCATGTATCACCTTCACCTCACAACCATGTATTACTTCACGTTCACAATGGCACCATGTGCTTTTGTAGCTTTTCAGCAAAAAAAACTGCGGGCTGTGCTCGCGTTTGTGGCATTGACGGGCCCAGCTCGCATGCTCCATGATGTTCCCATGAGTACACATGCACAACAACAACTTGAATGAACTTAGTATTACATCAGGCTTGCATTCCAACAGAAACAACACTTTGAACTTATAAGCCATCGTTTGCCTGCATCTCGCATGGCGTCTGCAGAGGAAAATGATGATGATGATGATGATGAGATTGTAGAAGATGCCATCTCCATCGCCCAGGTCCATGCCATACGGGTTGGAAAGACTGTATGGTATCCAACCACCAAGGTTGTCCAGGGCCAGACCTTCTTCAATGTCAGCAAGTATGACAGGGTCTTGACAAAATTGACCACTGGACGTGGTATGAACAGGCACGTCAACAAATCAAACGGCATGAGCAAGAAGCAGTTCTGGCATAATATGCAAGTTGCTAGGCGTGAAGCGTGCAATGAAGCCTACGCGCAAGTGCAGCGGCATGCCATGGAAGCAGCCGGAGAGGTCGTGCCAGACAACCAGAAATTCCGAGCTGCACATAATGGCGATCAATTCTTCGTGAAGGGCGGCGCCATCGAGGTTGAGCTCGAGGGCACCAAGGTGTTGACCACCTTTGCAGTGAAAGGAGACCTTTTCTTTCGCTTGGATACCCAAACGGTCCTGCAGGTGATCACCGCGATCCGGAACAGCCCTGACGCAGAGATTGCATCGCCCAAAAAGAAACGGCGCAAAAAGAGAAAGGGAGGGTCACTGACACCACAGCGGAGGCGCTGTCAAGAAGAACCTGAAGAAGATGATGTTGGTGAGGCAGAGGCCAATGACTGATCTATTACCTGGATAGTTTCTGTAGCTATAGTTTCCAAGGGTAGCCTTTCTTGCGGTGTCAAAAACTGACGCCATGCACCTGCGAGTGTAACCCGTCAATGGTGCAAGCAGCGAGCTTAGCCCAAGCTGCTTCAGCGTTTGCAATCATAGTGTGGCATGTTTGCCAGGACTTAAACCGGTCACAGTTTAATACCCACAGTTGTTTCCTGTAGTTAGCTTGCATCGATTTGTTGACGCATTGTTCTCAAACTCACGCCTGTAAACTTGGACTGTCATGGCTCAGCCTCGTGTAAAGCGTGTTTCTGTTGGCTGATCGGGCCATCCACCTCTTCATGGCGACTACTTGGGAAGCCTTCCTCTCAGAGATTGCGCAATTGCAAGGGTTTATTGATAACCAGAAGAAGGTTGTTGACAAAAAGAACCTTGCAGAATGCATGGCTGCACATGTGAAGCAGATCACATCGCGCTCCAACCTCACCACCAACGCAGAAGGTGCAACCAAGTTTAGTGACCTCATCAGTACTGGACCGTGGACAGACGACCAGAAGTTGCAGCTGGGCAACTGGGCTTCAGACATTCTGCTCCAGTCATCCCCGGGCGGTCAATCCAAGAAGCGTGACAGCCAAGTGGTGACTGCATTCCACCAATACTTTTCCAAGCACGATGTCAAAGTACTCAGCGATGCAGAGACACCCGTGCAGCTGAAACTCGAGTGCATCTTAACTGCATGTACTTTAGAGCATGTTTCGTTAACTAAACTCCTATAGAGAATGTATAGGGCAATGTAGGGCATGTTGACATCCCCCTTTGTCTATTTCAGTGCCGCTGCCATCGCCAAGGTATCGTAGATCGACTGGTGAAAGTTGGCTGCAACTTGCCTCATGAACAGAGTTGGCGCACGATCCTCCAAACTGCCTCGGTTGCAGGACTTCAACTTCCTGATGAAACAACTTCTGTAGCTTTTCTGCGGCAAATGAAGCAGATGCTCAGAAAGAAGCCAGTTGTTGTGCCGCGCCACTTGGTCAGATTTCCGCCCAAGCCCCAAGACTTGGAATGGTTTTCCACTGCTTACACTGCAGAGGACCCTCCACATGAGCTTGACGCGACTGAAGCCTTGAAGCAGGGTGTGACCTTGCGTATCAGTGGAAGGAATGTTGACAAGTCAAGAGTCAGTGGGTCAATAAACCCAAAGGCCTTGACATTCCATGGGCCTGATGCTGCACCTTCGCCTCCGCATGGAGACCAGTCTCAAGAGATGTGGGCCCGTATGGGTGCCATGATGATGCAGATGATGATGCATGGTGGCAGCGCCAACCCGAACAAAGCAAACATCCAGCTCACCAAAAAGCAAAAGATGTTGGAGGATGGACCGCAGAGTGGAGGGGGTCAACCTGCGGCCCTTAAGGACGCGCCCCCTGCGGATCAGAATGTCCCTCCTGGACCGTCCAAAGGGCCAGAAGATTCTACCGCTGAACAAGCACCAGCCCATGAAGCGCAGCCGCAAGCCGATGCAGTCTTGTTGAGCTTGCCTGAAAATCAACCTTCAATGAAAAAGCCAGCTGCGGCCATTGCGGGGAAGCCTAAAGTCAAGGCAAAGTCCAGCTCGAAGTGCTCGGGCAAAGCTAAGCCCAAGGCAAAGGCAAAGGCAACGATTAAGTCCATTGCCAAGGGAGGTGGTGCAGGTCATGGCAAGGCTACCGGCAAGGGGAACTCTGGTGGCAAGGGGCTGAAGCCAAAGACTATCATTCAGTGCAAAAAGGGCTGGAGGATCGATGAGCGTGTGAGAGATTCGGGCCAGAAAGACAGGCACTACATCAGCCCAGAGGGCACGATGTTTCGAACTTTGACTTCGGCCACTGAAGGTGGCTTTGAAGGGTAGATGCGCAGACTCACGCTGCCATCGTCGGGGGAAAAAGACCGCGAGCACTGCCCTGCTGCGGTTGGTTTCTTTAAGTGTCACGCACGACCCTTTGGCTCCATGCAGAGGTGCATCGTCTCTGCAGCAGCCGTTGTATAAAATATATAATTGCATGAACATACATTTACATATATATATATATAAATATATTATAGATATATACTTTCATTGTATACATTTAGATATCGATTCATACAGCTTCCAATGCTCATGGATTGCAAGGGGGAAGATGTAATGTGTTTTGAAGCTTTGGGGCCCATATGTAGTTGCACATATGTTTGGATGTGAACCTGAAGCGCGATGTCCAGCATATAGCTTTGCGGTGCATGGCTCGCTTTGCTGCAGGGGCACGGGCAATGCTCGCCCTGGGTTCTTGATCTACCATTCTATTAAATATCGCTCTTGATGTCGCTGCGTTAGGTCGGAAGACCTTTATATCGCAAAGTGGTCTGTCGGAAGTGTTGACAGCGATCAAGAAGACCGGACAGATCCCGGAAGCAACTTCAAAGGCCACAGTGAAAAGAAGGCGGGAGGATGCGGTATCCATTGAAACGCCTTATGGCTCATTGATCCAGATGATGAAAGCTGAAACCTTGGAAGGGACATTCATTGAGATTCCCTACTGTTCTCCTGCAGCTCTCTTGTGGCATACATCTCGGACATGCCATCGCATGCGTGAGTTCCTGGACTCTGCGGCGGCCAAGCATGAGAATAGCCTCAACAGCAAGTGGAAGTTGGCTGTCTACCTGGACGAAGTAAGTCCAGGTAACCAGCTTAAAGTTCACAACAGAAGAAAACTTCAGGCTTGCTACTTTTCCATCCAGGAATTCGGCGGTTACAACCTCAGTCAAGAGCATGCATGGTGCGTTCTTGCTTGCGTCCGCACAGACTTGGTCAACCAGCTGAAGGATGGACTGACCCATCTGTTTAAGCTCTGGATCAAAGCCTTTTTTTGTGAGTCTGGAAACCTTTCAGCCGGAATTTCATTGCAAATCAATGGGATGGACCGGATGATGGCATTTTCGCTTGGCTACATCGTTGCAGACGAGGCTGCCATCAAGCATGCCTTCGAGAACAAAGGGGCTGCAGGAAAAATGTTGTGTCTCTTCTGCCAAACAACAATTCAGAAGAGATATGCGCCAGCTGTGCTAGGCATGTTAGTGCCGCACACAGAAGTGGACCATTCAAATCTTATTCTACACACAGACCATAGCATCTGGCAGGTCGTGGACCATCTGCATGCTGAGTATATGGCAGGACTGTCCAAGAAAGAGTTTAGCGATCTTGAGACACGGCTAGGTTTCAACTACACGCCTCATGGCGTGCTACTCGACCATGATTTGAGAGCAATTGTGCGGCCGATCTCTCAGACGTGCTTCGACCCGATGCACGTCTACTTAGTCGCAGGCATATGGCATCGTGAAGTATCGCTGTTGATGAATGTTCTTGCAGCCGATGGTTACAGGCAACCTTCCCTGCATGACTTTTGTTCAAGTTTCATTTGGCCAATGATTCACGGTGGAGCATCCTGTCCTGCGAAGAATTCTTTCAGAAAGAAAAAGGAACCAGATGCCGAATTCAAATGCGGAGCAAGTGAAGCGTTGGCATTGTATCCAGTGCTGAGGGCATTTTTGGTCCATCAAGTGGAGCAACCCAGTGCGCCTCTGCGGCAAGCCATCGAGTCCTATTACAGATTGTGCGAAGTTCTGGACTCGTTGAAAGCAGCTACTGTTGGCACCATTGCCCCTGCTGTCTTCACAAACCAAATTGAAGCGCACTTGACAAAGTTCAAAGCTCCTCGAAGTGTAAATGTGGTAGCACGTGTTCATGTGGTATACTACTTTTAACCCGCATCGTGTCTGATTGTCCTTGCTATGCGTTGTGCCCTTCTGAGGCTTGTTACGGAGAGCAGCACTACTTACCGAAGCATCATCTGGCCATTCATTTGGGCCAGCAGCTGGAACTTCATGAGCTGCTCATCAGCTGCTTTGTCCATGAAAGGCGCCACAAGATCTTGAAGAGGTTCGCAGAGACAGTTTGTTCTCAAGCATTGCATCTCCAAAGATTACATCAATATAGTCCAGGACGCAGTTTGGATTTGCATGATGAATCATGTTGCCTTTGGTCTTGCCTGAAGCAATGTCTGCAGGTGGGCTGATCAGCAGCATTCAGGACATCAAAGCATGGAGCGCTCTGTTCTGAGAGAGGTGCTTGCTGACGCACTTTCATGATTTGAATGAGGTGGAGCAGAATGCTTTCAAGCCCGCAAGTGAAACACTGAGCAGTTCATTTCGCATTCTCTTTGGCCTTCCATTTCTAGTCTCGCCGCTTTTGGTTTCAAGAATTGCGTCTCGTTGCCAAAGCGACGACGTCGTTGCTTTGGCAGACCCTCCTGCCATTGCACGGGTTCATTTTCATCTCCGATATTTGGAACATGCTTTCACTTATGTTCGAATCTTTGCGAAGGTTTCCACGAATCGATTTCGGCCTTTGCTGGATCAAGATGCCCTTGTAGAGACTTCTCGCATTCGGGGGGCATTGGTGTACAAGATGCTCGAAAATGACCACATTCTTGTGGCTCCAGCCAGTTTTTTCGATACTGGAAAGTGACCGTGTGTAACTTCATGCATGTTTTCCATATCTATATCTATATCTATCTATATATATACATATATAGATACGTTGTTGCTTTTGTCTCCTTCGTATCGGAAAAAGGTTTGTATACGCATGGCAATATAGCCCATGCACTAGCTGTATACAGGGCTGAAGAGCACATACTCACGGCTAAGAAAGAGACCTTTGGACTTGGAGCAATATAGGGCCGTTTTGGTGGACTCATGGTTTGAAGCCCTTATATGCTTGGAAGCATATGAGCTCCGAGACTTTGTTTGTTCCTGTGCCAAAGCTGTTGGCTCAAAAGCATCATATAAAGCCTCTCCAGCACGCAATGGAGGAAGTCGAGATCTGCAGGAAGGCGATCGAAGAGCGCAATGGCCTTCGCCCCCTTGACGCTGCGCAAACAGGTGCATGTTACAACCTCTTGCTGGATAGCTTGGTGACCCTGATAGAAGCCAAGTCCAGCTTGTCAGTGTGCCAACTGGAACTGGCCAAGCTCCAGAAGCAGCTCTGTGAGCTGAAGCAGGTTTTGCTTCCAGATGTACCTGAGTGGCGGATGGAGGATGTGCTTCGCCATGGTGCCAAAAGAAGCGCTGCAGAGATGGGAGATGCGTCTCCTGCGGCTCGTGACCACTTGCGCTGGAAGAGCATATACCAGCGCCGCATCAATATGGATTTGACTCCAACGGTGTCACCTGGCAGCCCATGGGCTCAGAACTTGGAAGGTGATGAAGGTGCAGACATGCCCGCAATGCCGTGTGCTGCTTCGTCTGCGGGCAGTGCTTCCGCACCTGCTTCTCATGATCAGCCCAATGAGGAGGTGCCGTGCCATGAGTTGCCAACTTTGGTGGTTGCTGAGGATGCAGCTGTGAAGGCATAGTCGGCGGATGGTATATAGATGTCTGCAGCCTCAAGACTGGAGGTCTTGAAAGGCATGGCTTTATGCATAGCTTTTCGTGAGCCACGGTTTTTGAACAGAGCCCGCATTTAGCGCTGTGCCAAAAGAAAGTGCATGCCTGCAGTTCAGTTTCTGTTCAGTTTCTGCTTCTGCCCACAGGCCAATTCATGCGATCGCCCTGCAGACAGAGGTGCACCTTCGAGTTTTGTTTTTTGTTTCATGCTTTGTGGATATACACGTCCGTGATTGCTTCGATGTGAAAGTTTTGGCGACTTAATAGCATTGTGCTGGCGTGGCAATGCTCGCCGACACGTCCTTTGCGGGCATGGCTCGCAATATGTGCACTTTGCCACATGTGGTATCAACATGCCAAACACATGTTCATTTTGACTTCGCTTACATAAAGCCGTTTTTTGGTATGAGGTTCATGCATGCAGAACTGAACATGCATGCATGGTTCGCATGACATGCATGCACTGCATGATCAAGCCATGTATAATGTTTGCAAGCCATTTGGGCCAAACCAGTTTTGAGGTCACCTTGCAAGCAGCTGCCGTGCGCCATGCAGGACCACATGTGGATGCAGCAGTTCTTAGTCACCCCAGCTCACGAAGTTTGGGGTGCCATAGAATCATGCGCCATTTTCAAATGGTGCCACCATGGCAGCAAAAGGCCCTACGAGTGGCTGCTCCTTAAGCCATTATCTGACACCTCCCCGCGCAAAGGCAACGGGAACAAGATGCCCATGGTGGAGCCGCGTTGCCATTTTGGCACCATTGGGTTCCTTCGCCTCACGAAGTTGCCTTGGCATGTGTTATGTTTTTTCTGTTTCAGCTGTGGGACTTTGGAAATGTTTGATTTGATCCTTAAATATGAGATTAAAATAGCAACCACAAAAGTATGTACATATATATATATATTTAATATGATGTCAGTTTTCCATGATTTGTTGTCGTCCCCTGCATGCAGGACGAAGAAGCGTGCCTTTGGCGCAGTCGGAACTTGGGAAAGCAGCGGCACTACTTTGAAACTAAAGAAATTCGCTTGCTGCCTGGGAGCAAAGCTGCTGGACTTGACCTTTGAATACCATGGTGCTGTGTCTTGGTAATGAATTTGATGTTTTTCAGTTCTTTCTATGAAGTTAGAGTTGTTTTTTTCCTTCCAGTTTTTCTTTTTCGCTTGGGGTCCTATATCATGTGTTTGTTTCGATGATCCAACCACATACATACTGCACAAAAGCCTTTGGTATGTCATGCCTTCTGTTGATTCATGTTGTTTGGTTTCTGCATGCTATATGGCCATTGTGTTTAAAAGTCTGGGCGATTCAAACTTTTCTCACCATTGCAAGGGCCAGTGGACCGGGACATGTGGCATGCGAAGCTTGCAGTTGCGCTATTCCCCGTGGCAAGGGTCACCTGCACCTGAAGTGCCAACGCAGGACGATCCGCTTGGTCGACCCATGCAGCCCATGCTTGCAATCATGGACGTCCCGCCAGAAGAACCGGATGCGGCTCATGAAGGCGAAGCTGACGTGTCCGGAAAGTGGCACTTGGAAGGCTATGGTGAGCCGGCAGACTGGGGTTTTGAAAATGTTTTTTGGTTTTGATGTCGCAAAAAGTTGCGAAATCTAACCGGTCGTGGCATATAATTGCCCCTTTCTAGAGACGTCTCTGGACAAAAATCAGATCCCAAAAGGGAATCGCCGGAATAGACAAAAGGAGCATCTGTGCGTTTTTTGGTACATGGCCATGCAACCTTGTAAAGATTACTATTTATACATGGGTTTGAGGGATGCGTTTATCATGAATACACACATCTATAAATATATTTATATATATCTGAAGTAAGAGTCCCATATATAATGTCACAATAACCGTGGGTGAGGTCCAAATTACTTAGGATATTATATCGTTTGAAAGTTATAGCCAACCACACACCCCTTTGTTGCCCCTTGTCTCTCCTGCAGGTGCTTCATCGTGTCCATCGACTTTGTTGTTATTTTGCTCTGCAGATCGTGGCGACGTTGTTGATATGGATGGATATTTCACATGTGTTGAAAATAGACCTGCTGGCCTTGTTATAATGATACATGTTTGGTTTACATGCAGGCATGTGGGTATATGACTTGTGGATATGTTGGCTGGTATATAGCTACAAAACATGTGCTGATCAATCTATTGATGACATTTTCCTTATTGCATTGTTTTATTTTATTACTTGAAAATACCAAGGGTTGAAAAGGCCACAGTCGGGCTTGGCTCGCTGGCCTGACCTAGCGGGCACTGTGCTCGCAGGTTTGCTGGGAAAACATGCATGACTTTGAGCACGGTCATGAATTCAACCGACCCAGCAAAAAGATAATGTATCACCCTTTTTCACATTTACTTGCGAGATAAAATTTAGTTGCATGTTTATTTTTTTGGCGGAATGCTCTCTTTTTTCGTCACCTTTTTTCATTATAAACCATCAAAAATACTTGGTTACATGTACATATAAGTCACTTAGGGGACTTAGGTTTGAAGCTGTCTAAGTGACTTAGCCCACTTAGCCTAAGTACGCTAAGTACACTTAGCTAAGTCCGCTAAGTGGTTCAAAGCTAAGTGTGCTATCTAACTTAGCCTAAGTGGAGTAAGTACTTACTAAGTGCCTTAAGTACATAGTAAATATCATAAGTACTTACTAACCAGGCTGACCCTCCAAGTAGAGTCCAAGGACCGTGTCGCAGGGCTAAAACACCATGGCAGTGAAGGACGGATTGGGCCCGCGGCCCGTAGCCCAGACTGCCAAACGTTACTTCCTGAACCGACTAGAAACTAGCTCCAAACCTTGACTTTATTGACTTTATAGAATAGAAACTAGCTCCAATCACTTTCTGAACCGACTAGAAGCTAGCTCCAAACCTTGACTTTACCTGCGTTTCTGCACTGCCAACTGCCCCCCTGCTCGTGTCCTCCTGGAGCTGGCTTTCGTTCTGCACAGCTCCGGTCCAAGCTGGAGTCAAAGGACCCTGTCGCAGGGCTAAAACACCATGGCAGTGAAGGACGGATTGGGCCCGCGGCCCGTAGCCCAGACTGCCAAACGTTACTTTCTGAACCGACTATAGAAACTAGCTCCAAACCCTTGACTTTACCTGCGTTTCTGCACTGCCAACTGCCACCCTGCTCGTGTCCTCCTGGAGCTGGCTTTCGTTCTGCACAGCTCCGGTCCAAGCTGGAGTCAAAGGACCCTGTCGCAGGGCTAAAACACCATGGCAGGGAAGGACGGATTGGGCCCGCGGCCCGTAGCCCAGACTGCCAAACGTTACTTTCTGAGCCGACTAGAAACTAGCTCCAAACCTTGACTTTACCTGCGTTCCTGCACTGCCAACTGCCAACTTGCCTGCGTTGTCTGACAGCTGGCTTTCGTCCGGCGCGGCTCTGGTCAAGGGACCCCCCCGCAGGGCTCAAACACTATGGCCTGCGTCGTCTGTCCAAAGTTCTCTCTTCGCCCCTTCTTGCATCTTGTTGCTAGTAAGGCCTCCTCTGATGGACGGACCGGGCCTGCGGGCCACGGCCCCCACTGCTTGTAATCTCTTCTCTGACGCGCTCCCTCTGCTGTCGGCAGGGGTCGGCGGATTTTCACAATCCTTCTCGGCCGAACAATGCATGAACTTGGCTGAAGTTTGAGGGCCTGACCCGGGCCCGCAATTCTCAACCAGAAAAAGGCTCCGCATCCCCT